ATTGGAAAACAATTAAAAAATACTACTTCATGTAAAATTTTCTAGTTTACGATTTTATTTTGCATTTTCTAGTACTAAATTCTGAATGTGCATAAGAAATACTTTAGATTTGCCCATTTGAACGTTTCTGTAAGACCAATATCAACTGAGATAGTTATTGAGTAAAATATAAACAATCACCATGTACTTACATATTTTGAATACCTACTATTGATAACAAAATCGATAGAACTTTTTTAAGTACGCCACTTTCCACGTTTCGAAAACATTCTTCAATTTTATCATTCAATATACATCTAATCTTTCTGGATCATTCGTGTTATTTCATGAGGTATGCAAGATATTCGATAACATTCAAGTTCAATTCAAAATACTCATTGGGTGCCGTTTGGAAATATATAAGGTACCGTCGGGTAAAAAGGCCGGACAGGTTATAAGGCCGTACTGTCAAAAATCTCTCAAAACTCAATATTTCATCCGCTTGGCGCCATCTACATGTAGGATGACTTTAACTGACCCAAATAACACGTGGCTGGAGAGCGACAGCCACCCCGTTTGGCAACAGTGCGCTGTAAACAAAATCCGTCTGATTTCTAGTACTGCGTTATAAAATTTCCCTATAAAAGGTATGTGATATTTTCATTAGTTCAATATAGTTGTGTCTATATTTTGGTGCATATGTTTATGATGATGCCAACAACACTTGCAAACTGTTCATTTGAATTATTTGTTAATTTTTTGATTTCACATAACCTCAAAAAGTATATACTTACCAGACAGGTAATAACGCCCAGGCCTTATTTCCTGCCTAGACAGATAATAAGGCCCCGGCCTCATTTTCTGTTACAATGACTTACAAATAACATAAGTGCCTGGGATTGAGGCACACTTCAAAATATGTACATACTTCTTGGGTTTCTTCAATTTACAGGCATGGGAAAGAAAAATCGTGGAATAAGGGCAAAATGGACAGAGGCAATGATGGAGGAAGCACTGCAACTTGTACGACAGGGTCATTCCCAAGAATCTGTAGCACTACGCTGTGGAATTCCTCGTCGAACTTTGAGAAACCATTTGAAAAGTGGTTCAACCAAACGAGTGCTGGGTTCAAGACCCCTTTTAACCGAACAACAAGAGAACGAATTGGCAGAAAAAATAATAAGGTTCGGACAAAAAGGATTTCCGCTTACATCTAAGGTTCTCCGTCGGAGTGTCTACAAATTTTGTGAACGACTTAATATCAATCATAAATTCAACAAAGTGAAGCAATTAGCAGGAAAGGAGTGGTACCGATCATTTTTAAAGAGGCACTCGAATATTTCACAACGAAAAGCACAACAATTAAATCCAGCTCGTGCTCAGAAATTAAATCATTTTATTGTGCATGATTATTTTGAGAAGTTGAAGAACTTCTTGGAGAGAATAGGCCTAAAACACAAACCTGGAAATATTCAGAACATGGATGAAAAGGGATGTAGGCTCATGCTACACCATCAGCAGAGGGTTCTAGCAGAGAAGGGTGCTAGAAGAGTGCATTTGATAGGGTCAGAACATGATGAAAATGTCACAATTGTGGCATGTGCAAATGCGCTCGGCAATGTGATACCCCCGATGATTTTATTCAAAGGGCAGAGGTTAAAACCTACTTTTTCTGATGGACTTCCAGCAGGGTCAGTTGTGCATATGACTCAAAAAGGGAGCATGACTACAGAAGTATTTCTTAAATGGTTGGATCATTTTGCGCAATTCATGTCTCCTCCTCCAACAGTTTCAATTTTTGACGGAGCATCAATTCACCTTGATGTAACCATCGCTGAAAAAGCAGAATTATTGTAGATTGAGTTTTTGTGTTAACCAAGCAACACCACCCATGAGCTCCAGCCAATGGACAAGTCCGTCTTCCGATCGTTTGAAGCACATTGGGATCAGGAGCTTGTAGATTACTGGGATCGACATCATGACCGAAAATTAAATGAAGAAAGGTTCTCGGATGTCTTTACTCCCGTTTGGGGTAAATGTATGACCATCAGCAACGTATGTAGTGGGTTCAGAGCTACTGGGAACTATCCCTTCAACAGAAACGCGATATCGGAGTGTGCATTTGCTCCCAGTCTTCCTACGCAACGCCGCAATGAAGAAAACAATGCTCCCAATTTAACTGATGATGAAATCAGTAATCAGCTGAATATGGAAGACGACTGGGATCCAGACGATAAAATTCCATTGGCTCAGTTGATCAAAAGAGAAGCACAAGGCAAAGACAACTATTTTTCTAAAGAGCTCATTACTCCCGATATGCAGCCAGCTTAAACCAAGGCACGAAGAAAAGCATTGAACTATCGTGCTCAGGAAGTGAAGAGGGATGTATTCAAAGACCCCACTAAAAAATATGCATATAATGATGGGCAATCTTCATTACCCGAAGATAAAATGTTACTGGGAACCGAAATTAGCTGTTCCAATTATTTCTGAAACAATGCAAGTGAATAGATTCTACAAGTTTAGACAACATGTTCATTTTGTGAATAATGAAGATCATAACCCTAACAATCATGATAGAAACTATCAGGAGGAAATGTTTGTCGCTTCCTTTGGAAGAAACGTTGAGCATCGATGAACAAATGGTTCCTTTCAAAGAGAATATAAATGTGAAACAATATGTGAAAGGGAAACGTTGCCCATGGGGAATAAATTTTTTTGCATTATGTGGTACTAGTGGTATGATATATGATTTTTTATTGTACCAAGGATCTACTACAGAATGGAATCCTGAACACATGGAAGTATTTGGACTAGGAGCATCCGTGATCTTGAAACTCTGTGTAAGAATTTCTGAAGATAATGTCCAACTCTATTTCGACAATTATTTTTCAAATTACAATGTTTTGCAATTTTTGGGGCAGAAACGAATATATGCAATATGTACAGCACGATCAGATCGATTTGTGAAACCGCCCTTCACAAGTGATAAAAGTATGAAAGAGAAAGGCCGTGGTATTTCCGAAGAAATTTTGAGTAATGACGGTGAAGTAATAATGACCAAATGGTTTGACAACAAACCAGTAATACTTGCGTCTAATTATATGAGCATAGGCAACCCTGACATGTGTAAGAGGTGGAATAAAACCGCAAAAGAATATATGCATGTTCCAAGACCAGAGGTTGTGAAGCAGTACAATTTGAACATGGGAGTAGTAGACAAGGCTGATTTTCTGAAAACCATACATAGGACGTTCATTCGTTCAAAGAAGTGGACTTTGAGAATGATGACACATGCTATCGACTTAGCATGTGTCAATTCTTGGTCTGTGTATAGAGCTAATGCAACAGCTCTTTGTGTACCAAAGACACAGATATTGGACCTTCTTCACTTCAGAACGTATGTAGCAGAATCCTTGATTTGGTCTGGTAAAATGAAAAACAAAAAAAGAGGAAGACCCAGCTTATCTCAGGATTCTCCACCGAATGCACCTAGAAAGAAAAAACCTGAAATTAGACCAATTCTAGAAGTTCGTCTTGACGGATGTGGCCATCTTCCTGAATTTGATAAATTGGGTTTTGCTTCTAGATGCAAGTTTCCCAGCTGCAAAAGTCGGACACATATTATGTGTTCCAAGTGTAAAATACACCTGTGTATTGCAAAAACACATAATTGCTTCTTACTTTTCCACTCTCGATGATGATTTGAAAATAAATTCCTTTTGATTCATGATTTGTCCTTTTGATTCGTTTGATTATTTTATTTTTACTGATAGGTATTCAATAAAAACTTTATATGTATATATATATACTGTCTCTTTTCTGGTATACGCCTTCACTCATGCTGTACACTACAGTGTACATGCTATAACAAAACAAAATGTGATGAATTGAGAATTTGCAATCTACACCATAAATCTTAAAATAATTCATAATGCTTATATCCCCAAAATCAGATTTTTTCGATGAAATTTGAAAATTCATGAGCGAAAGGGTTAACCAGAGTCAATTTGGAATCTGGATGAATCATCCTTAAGGCTCCACCACTTATTGTTTACAAAGGGAAAAACATATGGGATAACTGAATTGCAGATATATTCCTAACCTATTTTCACAAAAACTCTTATTCCGGTACTTGGCCCTGACAGACCAATTTTGCCAATTTTTTAATGGTCATAGTAGGTACGCACATAAATGTGAAATTGGAGGAGCTAAACCGTGAAAATAATATCAAATCACCACCGCATACCTCACATCTATTGCAACCACTCGATCTTTCTGTATTCAAATCACTCAAGGATACTTGGGACGAAGAACAGGTCATATGGCAGAAGCAAAATATTGGTCTGAAAATCCCAGAAAAAAAGGTTCAGCTACGGAAAGAAGCGATAGTGCCATGGAAATTGATCCAAGACTTTCGTTTGAACAGCTTTCATTGAGAACGGTGAAACAGACAGCAACACCCAATTCAAAGAGTAGCAAAAGGTGCGGAGGTCGTGACTCAAGCTGAGGTTATTCAGAGACTCATCGAAGAGGAGAAGGAGAAGTTTTAAAAAACCGAAAACTAGAACAGGAAAACAACTGAATAATAATAAAGATGAACCAAAAGTTAAAACTAAGGGTCGAAAAACGGAAGAAACGTGTGAGTACGAGTAGTGAGAGTTCAGAAGGATCAGATGACGTGATTTATACCAACTCAGACAATTGCAAAGACCCTGAGATATTTCAAATGGAAGAAGAAGATGGAGAATATGAAGAAATTATAGAGTGGTTTTGGTGGAGTATAGAACCAGCAAATATATCAAACATCTTGGGGGACTAATAACCAAGAAGACATAGGATAACTTGTGGTGTGTGAAATTCAGAAAGTACATCAGAGACAGCCAGTTCATCTGGCCAGATAGATTCAATCAGATGTGCAATAATAAAAATCACGGTTACACTTAACCCACCTTACCTTAGTACTCTGCTTACATTGAATTCCCAACCTCCTGTGAAACATTCAAAGAATCCCAGATATTCTACTCTTTTACCATTTATTCAAACAATGAACAGACCATATAAACTTAAAATTATAATAAGACAGTAACTTTACCATCACGAGTGGGTTGACTTGAAGTAATCTTGGGATCCTTTTGGGTCGGGTTTGATAGTCTTTTCGCCTTTTCTCCAGTTGGCAGGACATACTAAAAATATGGCACTGTATAAGACAGAGAACACGTTGGGTTCAATGCATACTCACCCTCTCCATGTTCTTCCACAAATCGTAATGCTTCAATAAGCCTAAGAACCTCGTCCACCGATCTGCCAATTGGTAAATCATTGACTGTTATCTGTCTCAAAATTCCATTGGGATCGATGATAAACATCCCTCTGAGGGCTACTCCATCATTCTCCAGTAAAACGTCATAGTCCCTGGCGATATCTTTGTTGATGTCAGATAATAAGGGGTACCTCAACTTTCCCAATCCTCCTTCCTACGAAAACGGATAATTTTTACATCAAAAGGGATATTTAACCACAATTGGATTGAAACTGTTACAATGAAATTGGTTGAAATGACATTATGTAGAATGGAACATATTATTTTCAAAGAGAGGCAGATTAGTATCTTTCTCAATATTGAATATGGAATATATAAAACAAATGAATTGTATGATGATTCATAGGTAGATTGGAGTGAAATCGGAAGGGTTTGAAAAATGATTCAGGACACCTCCTCTCTTTCAGTCATTGAGACATGGAAATGTTTTTCGACATCTCATTCCTTTGTCTTCGGGACTCATCGAACCTGGTATCGTTGAATTCATACAGTGTGATCAAGATAAGGTATCTTAAAATGGGGATCTCGAAAACTGTAGGATATTCTATATACGTTGAATATCATCAAAAGTTCCTATAGAAAAGTACCTGTTTTCAGTATTTTTACGTGGACCTGCATCTTACCTCCCGTCTTTTATAGCATCTGTTATTAATCAAGTTAGAATTCTGTTATCTTGCTAACTAAATTTTTAATGTAAGGCGCATACCAGGATAATATTTTATTTATACACTTAACACCGTTAGCTACGACTTTTATACCATTGACATCTCGAATTAACGTAGTATATAGTATTCCTTGCAAGAATTGTGATAAGAAGTATGTAGGTCAAACTTCAAGAGCCCTTGGGGCAAGAATTACATCACATAAAAGTGACAGCAGACCACATCCTGAAAGATGTGCCCTAGCTGACCATATGAACCAATATATAACAATGCAAAAATTTTAACGAGTGAAAATAACTCAACCAAAAGGCCCTTCTTAGAAATGGATTTTATTTATCAAGAAGTTAATAACATGAACAAAAAAACAGACATTAATTATCTAAGTGGAATTTACTCCTACTTATTGACATTAGACAAAAACTCTCTCAGGGTTGAATCCAATAATAGTTCAGACCTATAAAATTCAATTTCAAATTTGCCACAATTTTAACAGTTGAAACAATGGTTGGTACCACTAGATAGTTACACTGTCATCAGTAAATTAATATTCTTAACCTGATTTCAAAATTGTTTCATATTTTCGGCAACATGGTGACCATGAACAGCAATAAGTTGAAGTTTTCAACATATTTCATTGTACAATTACTTTTCATTATATGTCTTATTAAATTATTTTAATTCACAACTTCGTTCCTGGATGATGTATTACAATTCAATTTCAAACATCATGGGAATCATCCTCACGTAGATGTAGGTACAAATGTTCTTTGGACAAATTATACATTATATCACTGACAATAATTATTGTAGTCTTCACTGATGATGGAATCAATTGAATTCCGAAAGCTTGGATAATCTTCAAAGAGTTCTCCTCTTTTACTTGCTGCAAAACCTCACGATTTACTAGTCTATATATATGTATACAGGGTGTAAATTTGAAAACTTTCAATGCGAATATCTCGCGAAAGAAAAAAGTTAGAAAAACGCCGTTTGGCAAAAATGCTCAAGAGTTAAGGGGAACTAGAACCACCATATTTCGGTCAAGGGATGAGTCACCCCGTCGGCGCGACACACCCCAACTTTGAAATGTCAAATGGCACTACCTTTTTTGTGATGCCTCAAATGAACAGTCTCAGTCAGTAGTATTCACCTGTACAAGACTTTTTTTCCACCCACTACAGAGTGTACGAAAAATATAAAGTCGAATAAAATAAAATGAATTGTGTTAAAATGATATTTTATTTGATCAGATGTTCAAAATGCATTCCAATCTGTTGTAAGCAATAGTAAAATCGATGTTCAAATGCCATTCTAACATTTTGGAACACATCTCTTGGAATATATCGGCATTCTGCATTTTATTTTATTCGACTTTATGTTTTCCGTTCACCCTGTAGTGGGTGGAAAATAAGTCATGTACAGGTGAATACTACTGACTGAGACCGTTCATTTGAGGTATCACAAAAGAGGTAGTGCCATTTGACATTTCAAAGATGGAGTGTGTCGCGCCGACGGGGTGACTCATCCCTTTACTGAAGTATGGTGGTTCTAGTTCCCCCTAACTCTGTAGCATTTGTGCCAAACGGTGTTTTCCTAACTGTTTTATTTAGCGAGATATTTGCATTGAAAGTTTTAAAATTAAGACCCTCGAATTAATGTGTTTCGTACACCCTGTAGTGGGTGGAAAAAAAAGTCTTGTGCAGGTGAATACTACTGACTGAGACCGTTCATTTGAGGTATCACAAAAGAGGTAGTGCCATTTGACATTTCAAAGTTGGGGTGTGTTGCGCTGACAGGGTGACTCATCCCTTCACTGAAATATGGTGGTTCTAGTTCCCCTTAACTCTTTAGCATTTTTGCCAAGCGGCATTTTCTAACTTTTTTATTTCGCGAGATATTTGCATTGAAAGTTTTCAAATTTACACCCTGTATATGCAGGGTGATTCAAGGTGGATGACCTATTAGAAGTATCTGGAGAACGAAACGACAGAACATTCTGAAAATTGGGATGCTTCGATAATTGAACATTCTCTATCCGTCTAAAATATTTTCATCGTTACAGTGTTGCCACTTCTATTAGAAACAACTAGCAACTTCGTTATTTTGAATGGAGCACCCTGTATTTTATTGCATTTTTATATTTCTCCTGAAGAGCTGATTTCATCAATGTATCACACACGGGTCTAGCAGGAATGATTACAGAGATAAAGAGTGTTCAAAATCGAGTTTTTTTCCAAATTTAGGATATTTTTTAGTCGAAACTATTCATTATCGATCAAAATGGCTGACGTTTCCCTATCTTTACTTTCGATTCACTATCTACTGACATTTAATTGGAACAAATACAGGGTGATAAGAATTCTGAATCTTGAAGCATCCTGTAAGCCGTTTTGATCCATAATGAGTAGTTTCGACACAAAAAATCCTGAAATTGAAAAGGCTCGATTTTGAACACCCTATATCTCCGTAATCATTCTTGTCAGACCACAAGTGTGATGCATTCGTGAAATCAGCCCTTCAGAAAGAATCTAAAAATGCAATAAAATACAGGGTGTTCCATTTGAAATAACAAAGTTGTTAGTTGTTTCTGATAGAAGTGGCAACACTGTATCTATGAAAATATTTTAGACGGATAGAAAATGTTCAATTATCAAAGCTCTCATTTTCAGAATGTTCTGTCTTTTTGTTCTCCAGATACTTCTAATAGGCCATCCACCGTGGATCATCCTGTGTATATATATATGAACAGAAGAAAAATATCTTCAACTAGAGCTGGAAATATACAAGGTGTTTTATTTGAAAAAATGATTTGGACTCCATTCTCTACTCTTGCGATTCGCATCTTTTAGATTAAAAGGTGCCAAAAGATGGTGCAGATGAAACCCTACAACTTTCATATTTGAACATTTCACCACCTTGAAGCGGTCAAAATATGAGGAAACACCTTGTATATGTTGGATACATTATCATGATCAAACTCATATGGAATTTCGGACTAATAAATTACCGATCTCCGATTTATTAGCAACAAAAACCGTTCGTTCGGAACTAACAAGAATGGCTCTGAGAAAGAATATAAATGGCTTTCTTTGCATTCGAATATGGTCCATAGAGCCAGTCACTCATATAAATGGTTTTGTGATAATGTGAATGTACCATTTAAAATCAATTCATCAATCTAAAACCATCACGTTCACGTTCTTCGATTATCTATCATATTCTGTTATGAAACATTTGCTATGTGACGATTTTCTCGACTTTCCTACTTTAATGTTTGGGTAGCGTGCAGGATAAATGGTAATATGGACATCGAATGTTATGAAAGTTTGAAACGGATCAAAATAATCTGTGTTCCATTCATTATTCCAACTTCTTCAGTTTGGTTTGATGATTTAGCAATAATAATTATACTCACAGATCTTTTTGTATTCATCCATCCCAAATGAGAAAAATGTGAATCTATTGAACAACCTATCACTTCAGCATTCAATGCCTTGAAATCGTCGATTCGGTCATCCAATGCTATGAGTTCGGTAGGGCATACAAAGGTACTGAAAGAATAAAAAGAGATTAATTGAAGAGTTTGTTCCATGCATCAATGAAACAGAGCCTATTTATTGCAGGGTTAACCATCGAAGAGGCCCATCCAAGAGTGAAATAAAATAAAGAATTCGACCTGTTCCATGAATTTCTGATAGTATTGTTTTTCCAGCTAATAATCAACACTTCGCTCAATGGAGGCAAATTACATTTATGTATGTATTTATATTTTGTAAATTTTGCTTTTTATTATATTTTCTATCGTGACAGCTTCGTACAAATGTTTTGATAATTTGTTTCATCTCTGAGGAACTATATGGATAATAAATTTTGAGTCGAGGTAATTTGAATAATCAGGGCGTTTCATTTGCGAAAATTAATAATTATTCAGTGTATTAATGAAGGCGATTAATGATCAAGATATTTTAATTAATATTCGAGATCATTATTCGCTTAATTAATATACGAGTCGTTTACAGAATTTTTTCGTCGACTATATTTTTCCTGCATTCAAGAAAACTCGGTTCGCGAATTCATTATTTATATGAAAACTACTAACAATCACCTAGTAGACCTGAAAGTTAACTTGTCACTGACATCAGTGACATTTGACATTTGTCGAAATAATCAAAAAGGAAAATAAATTCCTTTTGTTAAAGAAAACAGGGACTAAAGGTGGATTCATGCACGACCCAATTTAGCCTGAATTTAATTTAAGAAGTTGAATCTTGCGTTTTCAATACATCGGTTCATGTAGTTGACTTAAGAATTTAACGATAATTTGAGGATTTAAGAAGTTGGCCAACTTTTATCTTTTTCCTTAAATCCTAAAGCAAATCAGCTGTTGTTCAGGGTCATTCATGTAAATAAGTATTGCCAACTAACAAAATGTGGAAATAAAATGAAAGTTTCCCAAAAATCACCAAAAATTATGAAGAAAACAAGAAGAAGAAGAAGAAAAATGAACCAAATTTATAATTCTTCGTGTACAGGGTTATTAGTATATGTAGTGTTGGAAAAATAAAATTGTGAAAAAATGAACGATTCGGAATTAGTTAGTTTAGTTGAACAATATAAACAATTGTATGATAAAAGGAATGCAATGTTCAAAAATAAACTGGCAAGGGAAAATGCATGGGAAACCATCTCAAGCATATTAGAGGACACAGGTTTGTAGATTTTATATCAAAAATGCCCTACAGACTATCAATTGCTGTAATTCCTTCATTATATATAGCTGTGGACTCAAGGAAATATGAAAAAGATTGATATACCTTCAACATCCGGAACTCAATCAACATCTTGTAGGAGTTCATCTAATTGGGATACATTCCCTGAGATAACTCAGGAAGATAATTCCCAACAAGATGATGAAGTGTTGGAGATATCACAAGATGATGAAATTACAGATAATACATCAGATTCCAACACGATAACAGAAAACGAAGAACCATCTCTGGGAGCATCTCAAAATTCTCAGATTTTGAAGAGAAAGAGAGAGGCAATTTTGGAGAAAACCAGTAATTTACAGGCCAAAGCAAGAAAGCCAAAAAATAACAAATTTGAATTTCAGAGCAGTATTGCTACTGCAATGAGAGAAATTTCATCCTTTTTAAATAAAGAAGAAGGAAATACTAAGGATAATGAAGGAAGAAAATATTTTATTCAGTAAATCACTGGGGATAACTTTTTCAGGCATCGAATCGAAAAAAGAAAAAGCGCAATGTAAAATCAAATTGTTGGAAGTGATCCAACAATTCATGGATGATTAGAATCATTCAATATTAATATTAGGGATGTTATGTAGGTATTCATTTGCTTTATAGATGTGAAGACTGAGCTAAGTTTTGTTAATTTTTTTTCTTTGCGTTTTGTTTTTGTTGAATGTTCATTTTGTTTCCATTTGTGCGCAGAAATAAATAAATTTATTCAATAATTATTTTAGAATTTATTAATATTTTATGCTACAAAATGAAATCATGTTAGAAGTGATCCTTTGAGAATATGATTCCACTGCCATGGAACACATCCCACATCAGACAAAAAATAATCTGTCAGTGCTTCTCTGTTGTTCTGGACAATTCTGTTAGAATTATTGCTTCCAATTCGTCCAACTGAACGCAGTGTGATGTCACTTTCTCTCCATTGCCCATAGTGAAGCTGACCATCATCATCAATACAGTCGACGAAGCCAGTAGGACAATACCTTCTCACCTCAGGAGGAATGTCTTGTTCACACCGCTGGAGGAAATTGTGAAGGACTACTGTGGCTCTTGTTATTTCTTCACACGTTGATATATCACCTATTATAGGCCTTCGCAAAATTCTCCAGCGCTGCACAAGAATTCCAAAGGCATTTTCAATAGTGCGTCGAGTCCTAGATAAACGATATTCAAAAATGATTTTCCTCTCTCCCAATCGTTTACCTGGGTAAGGGCGCATAATGTTTTCATGCAGAGGAAATGCCTGATCTGCCACCAGAAAATGTGATAATGTTGTATCACTGTGAGGCAGAGTTGCTGGTGGTGAAATGGACAATAATTGTTTGTTCATTAATTTTTGACCCAAACCAGAATTTTTGAATACAGCACTATCATGATTAGACCCCGCACCTCCTATATCTACTGTCGTGAATTTAAAATTAGCATCTGACCAAACTGAAAGTTTTTTTATAACTGAAATAGTCAGATCCAGAATATTTAAGAGCTTGGATGACAACATGTTTGCCATCTACAGCTCCTATACAGTTTGGCATATTCCACTTCTCAAATAATCCTTTCACTATCTTGTTCCACATTTCAGGAGTCGGTTCAGGCAAATAAATGGGCTGCAAATTATTCCACAATGCATTACATGTTTCCTTTATCACATAATGAGTGGTAGATTTTCCTACATAAAAGTCCCATGCAATTTTTTGCATTGAGCATACTTCCGAAAGGTAACTAGAATTAATGAATAGATTAGAGCAATTCAAAAAACAAGGCAAAAATTACTCACTGTAGTGTCATTGTAAGTCTTTCTGCTGGTGAAAGGGCTCCTCGGCAAGGATGTTTCTTCAAGTCGTGTTCAACAATACTCAAGAGCAGATCGAACAATGCTGGTGTCATTCTAGTATATTTAAAATACTCCTGGGGATCCTGTTGTCTCATAGATCTCACTAGAGTTGGGTAATGCCCATACATTTTCCTTTTTTTTTTCCTTATTAAAGGACGCACTGCGAATCTTCTATGGTGCATTGTTGTTGCAACTGATGTTACAGCTAATGAAGAGGCTATCACAATCAAAGCAGTAGTTTTCTTATTAGAAACCTTCATCTTTCCGAACAGTTCAAGATAATATATCAAATATATTTCCACTCTTAAGGCCAATTTATAAACTCCGCTGCCGTAGCTACCGTTGCCGCTGCAGTTACTGTTCGGAAATTACATACCCTAAATACGTACAACTGTTTATAAACTCCGCAGCTGACGCAGTTGCCGCTGCAGTTTCCGCCGGAGATGGCCAACTTTCATCTCCGGCGGCTACGGCGGCGGATTTCACCTGCGGATAACCAATCACAGATGAGTTCAGTGACAACTGACATTACTGACAGAAGTGACAGATGATCGTGATTTTGTTTATCAAAAAAAAAATAAATAATGTTGTCATGGTATTATATAAAAGTCTAAAAATATTATCGAATATCTAGTGAATATTGATTGCAATATGTGGAAATTCCCAATGGAGCAGATGTCTATTTTAAAAGCTGTATTTTTTATGGCATTTCAATAATATCACAAATATTTAAAACCCACCATCTGTTATTTTATTATTTGTTTTGAATTTGTTTATTACATAGGATCTTGTTAATTATTTTATAGACCATGAACTTGGGTAGGTATTTAGAAATGAGTTTTCTACCCAGTATCCTCGCTCGCGTTGATCCGAAAACAGTTGTGTTGACAAAATCTTGTGTTGAACTTCAAATTTCGTACAAGTACAAAACTGATACAGATTACCACTACAATATGGATGTTGGATTATTTTTGACCCTTCTGGAATCATTTCCACATCTTTATGATTTGAAGAACAAAAATTTCAAAAATTCTATAATGAAAGAGAATAGTTGGCAGGAAATTTCAAATGCTATGGGTGAAACAGGTAACTATACTACTTATATTATATGGAGAACTCTTCTGATAATATGTTGATATAGTTGTAGAGTGTCAGCGCCTCTGGAAAAACCTGAGGGACCGATACACCAGGGAGAAGAGGCAGAGGCCTTCAGGGTCAGGTGCCACTTAAAACTCATGGGAGTTCATGAAATCAATGAGTTTTTATGATAAGTGTATCATTAAAAGAAGGCAAGTTGAAGCCCATTCTAAAATGCATGTAGGTAATGTTCAATTTTATTCCTTTTAGAACCATTTCAACTTCAAAGTTGATCAAAAACAATGCACCATGTGATAGGCCAGCACAAAAACCGTCCTCACAAGCATCATGTTCAGTGTGGAGCACGCTGGACGTCGTATTATCTTCAGGGTCATCAGAGGATCCTGAAGTTCCGTCTCAAGAGTCCCCAGCGTTATTAGAGACTCCTGAAACACAGGAGGAAGAAATGGAAATGATAGAAATGAACGAAGAAACACCGATGACGCCTCTGAGGAAGGAGAAATGTAAGTTTTCATATTCTTGTGATTTCAAAAATAACTATATGAATAGGGGGAGTACATACTCTTTTATACCATATATTCCAACATAGTTATCATTCCATGCTAATTTTTTTTGCTCCTCTCAGGTACTCCGAAGACGCCCAAAAAGGATGAAGATATCAAAGAAATGATCAATATTGCCAAGACCATTATGTCAACTCTCGGAGCTGAAGCAACCAATTCGAATACCTCCTTTGGAAAATATGTGGTAGATACTCTGAACAAAAAAAGTGAAGCAGAAGCCAAAGAACTACGAAAAAAATCGTTCTTTTGTTAGAGGATTAGTTTTGTATTGTATGTTTAATAATAATTTTTTGGTG